CAGCCCCTGGCAACCACCAATCTACTTTCTGTTTCTATGATTTTACCTATTCTGTATATTTCATATAAATGGAATCTTACAATATGTGGCTCTTTGTGACTGGCTTCTTTCACTTAGCACAATGTTTTCGAGATTCCTCATATGGTAGCATGTATCAATACTTCATTTCCTTTTAAGGCTGAATAATATTCCATTGTGTGGATAGACCACATTCTGTCTTTTCACCTGTTGGTAAATGTTTGGCTGGTTTGAATCTTGCTGTTCTGAACATGTATGTACACATACTTGTTTGAGTCCCTGTCTTCAATTCTTTTGGGGATATACTTAGGAATGGCATTTATGGATCATATAGCAATTCTATACTTAACTTTTTGAGGAACTGCCTGGGTGCCCTTTTCTAATTCACGCAAAGGTGTTGTGTGGGTGCTCACAGAGACACTGAGCGCACAGTCTTCAGGGCTCATATCCACCCAACCCTGACCAGCTACCAAGGCTGGGTGGGACTAGGGGCTCCATAGATGTGACTTCCTTCCACCCCCACAGCTATCTCCCAGGCAAGAGGCAGAGAAAGGAGCTCAAAGAGGGAAAGTAACCCCCAAGTCAGACAGCAATAAGTGGGGGGCTCAGAGTTGAGCTCATCCTGACTGAGTCCCAAAGCGCTGCTCCTGACCCCTGTGCCATCAGGCGGGATTGTCAGACGTGGCATTGTAAAGATGGCAGGGCTTTCTGCCTGAAGACCTACCTGAGGCCAGCTCGAAAGCCTGGGCCATCTCTTGCTCCTTACCTACCCTGTCTGTACCCTCATCCCCACCTGCTTTGGGGGTCAGATCCAGAGGAGGGCTTCCTCCAAGCAGAATGTGGCCACATGATCTCCATCTGTCATCTGTCATCTACCATCCATCATCTGTCAGCCCCGGGGAGCTACAGGCAAGATTAGAAAACTGGGCGATCAATACAGCTGTTCTTTATTTAGTCCTGCTTGCTTGTGCTGTGCTGGACAGTGCCTGGCTTCCAGCCGAGAGTGGGGAGCAGGGATCTCTGTGGGACTTCCTTGTCCGAGAACTCTGAATGAGTGGGCCTTTCCACCCAAGCTCCCCCTCAGCTGTATCTCCTCCTACTTTCTGCAGAATCAATTATTGATGAGGCCCCTACAGTCGGGGAGTCCCAGCGGAGCATCCTGGCTGCCTTCCAGCCTTCACAAACAGCAGAGGAGCCAGGACAATATGACCGTGTTCCTGAAGGCATGGCCAGTGAGATGGTCCAGACTGTGGCTTCCGGTGGTCAGAGGCTCAGAGCACCCTCCGGCCCGGGGGTGCCACTCACCTGTGGAGGACAGGGAGCCCTGGGGCTGCTTTGCTTCCCAGAGGACTGAGTGGGGAGCTAGTCAAGCGAAGGACCTGCACCCCAGACAGACAGCTCCCATAGTTGCCTGGGGCACAGGCTCAGACAGGTGGCTGGTGGCTCTGAATGCAGGGGAAGCATCTGGATGGGGGCTGGAGGATGGGGAGGATCTGCTACGCCTGGAAGGAGGCAGTGTGACAGCCACAGTTCCCATCTGCCGATCAACTTCCCTCAGGGGAAGGCCCAGCATATGGGAGGTGACATCGGGAGGCCACAGCAGATGGCAGAGGAGCCCGGGAGGGTGTCTCATCTCAGGGCAGTGGCCAAAGCCTTAGGCTTCCTGGGTGGCGGTGTGCCCAGGACCTCCCAGTCTCCAGGAGCCCCATTCCCTCAGGAGAGGAGGCCCCCCTCGGAGTGGTGTGCTGCTGCTTCGGAAAGCTCCCCCACCGCACACCTTCTCTCATCCCACCCTGGGCCTCCTAACTCACGTTGCTGTGTCCCCTCTGCAGTCCCCCATGGCCTGGCACTTTTGGTTCCTCCTCTCCCAGGGCCTCTCCCTGGTTCGCTGATTCTTACTCATGTGAATGAGTAAATATGTGAATGTAATTGATCCTCTGTCCTTCTCCATGTTCCAGTTTCCGAGCTCTTAGGTGACTTTAGGTCTCCCTGCTTAAGATATCCTGGTCCCTCTGGAGAGTGAGGTTCATCTGGGAGCGGCTCGCATCCCAATGCCCAGGCTGAAATGGGAGTTGAGTGGATCTGTGGCCTCTCCTCCCTTCCAGAGGCCCAAAGCAGGGCTGGGGAAGGACTGACTAAAACTGTGGGAGCTGGGGAGCAGGGTGTGATGGGGGGAAGGGATGGAGTGCCTGGCTTTGCTGGGGAACCCTGAGGAGTGCTGGGTATAGTTGGGGCCATGCAAATAAACCCTTTTTTGGGGTCCCAACCCTGCGCTGCAAGGTGCTGGGACTGCCTGCCTGGGGACACATATGTAAGAGACACAGTGCCCCAAAGGGGGAAGCTGCCTGGAGTGGGATTCCACTGGGATCAGACTCTAAGCAGGGGGTGGGGTGTGGGGTGGAGGCAGAGGAGGGAGCAGGAATAGGAGAAGCAGGTACTCAGATGCGCCCATCACTTCCATTCTCTGCACCTGGTCTCCCCACCTGTTGGTTGGGGACAGGAGGGTCATGACACCCAGCCCACAGCGTTGCTGGGATTAAATTAGCTTCTCCTCCTGTATTTTGCTATGCACAGGGCTTGGCACCAAGTGGGCACTCAGTAAATGGGAGTCCTCGCTAGTCCCCAAAAAGGCTAGATGGCCTCACTCTTGGATGGTCCCGGCTTTAGGAATGCTGGGCCAAAATTTCCACTGTGTGTGGTTTGGAGCCAGTGTGATGCCTCCAGGGGTTAGGGGTGACCCCAGCTCTGGCCTTGCCCTCCTGGGAGCCAAAGTGAAAAGTTCCACTTACAGGTACTATCACGTGAGGTTGCACCGTGTGACTGAGTCACTCCTTCATTCAGATACTTGGTGGGTTGGTGCTGGGGACATAGCGTGAACAAGGCAGACCACAGAGGCCATCAGAATGGTAAGTGGAGAGTTATAACTTCAGTGATGCTTCCAAGGAGACAGGAATGAAGGGTGCCCTGTCCTACTGGGGAGGCCAAAGCAGGCTTTTCCACGGAAGCACCTCAATGTCAAGTCCACTGGCAGAGGTCTGAGTAAGGGACTGCTCCAGAGACAGAAAGGCCTCAGCATGCCTCAGGGCAGAGGGCAAGCAGAAATTGTGACAGAGCCGTTCATCTTCTCACCCTGTCCCTTAGTTCCCAATCATGGCCCCCAGTGAATCATACCTCCCGGAATTCACACCCTATGTGGCCCCTGCCCACACTGGCTCTCTGGGCTTTGCCCAATGGGACATTTGGCCAAAATGTCCCCTTGCAACAACTGTGATGCACACGGAACTTGATAAGCACAGACCCACTGGGGCTTGTACTCTTGGAACACTATTTGGAAACGAGCGGACATGCTGTGAGGAAGCCCAAGCTGCCACGTGGAGAGGCCTTGCCACACCAACTACCAGCCATGTAAGTGAGGCCCGTTTGGACCACTGGGAAAGTCGTTTCAGAGCCCCAGTCACCAACCATGGGGCCGTTGGAGGAAGCCATTGAGAGGACATGACCACCGGTTGAGCTGCAAGCTGTACCTGGGCAGCTGGGGAGGCTCCTCACCCGCTCCCCTGTCCTTGAAACATGCCCACTGCTTGCCTTCCCGGTGCTAGAAGCTGCTCAGAGACACAGCCTTGAGATGGTATTGTGGTAGTGGAACCATCTGGACTGTGTACATGACTGAACCCAGGTAAGGCCTCGACATAAACTTTAAGATTCTGCCAAGTGGGTTTAGTGATCAACTTGTCTTGTGACCGCCCAAGATCAGCCTCAAATGTAAGTTCCCTTGCTTATTAAACCTGCCACCTACCAATCTGGAATGGTTTGCTTCTTGCTTTGGTCTCTCCCTGCCCTCCACATAAGGGGGCTGGTTTCAGATTATATCCAGGAAGCTCCTGAGGTTGGAAACTAACAGACGCAGAACAGCCAGTCAAATCATGAAATCATGAGAAATGAGAGATGGTTGCTACTTTAAGCATTAAGTTTCGGGGTGGTTTGTTATAAAGCAATAAATAACCCCCACCCCCTATTATCCCCACATCCCAAATCTAATTCTTTCCTCTGCCCAGACCCTCTCCACCTTTCACCTCCTTCCTTAGACCTGCACAGCTTTCCTCTGGAATTTCCTGTGGCTGGCTCTTACTAAGCTCTTCCCAAGAACAGAACTTGCACTTGAGCCCCTAACAGCCCTCACTGGTTGATGCTAGATAGGACTTAGGGGGCCTTTGAGTGAGTGGTGAGGCACATCCGTCTTTGGCCACTGAGGAGAACCAAGCACAGGATTATCCCCAGGCAGGTCTATGGTTTGAGCAGGGCGCATGTCTGCTGGGAGTAACCAGCAACCGCCCTGCCTCCTTGCCCCCCTTACACGTCTACTGAGCACGTGCTGTGGGCCTTTTCTTCAGGAGAAGCTGCGGAGACCAGGTCACAGTTCCCTGCCCTGGCTCTCGGGTGTCCCATAAGAGGGTGGGAGAAAAGTCCAGAAATGGACAACCACGCCCAGAGGTAACAAGTGCTGCAAGAGTCGTGGGGGCGTCCATAAAGTGCTCCTGGAGTGATTCTACTCCTGGAGCAAAGCACTGAGTTGGACACAAAAGAGGGCCTGGAATGTGTAAAGACTGCATTGTGACCAGGGATGAAGGGACTGGGGAGAAAGGCTGATGCACAGGGGTCAGCAGGGGTGGGCAGGGGTTGCGAGTGGGGGGCTTTGATTGAATGCCAGAGGGAGAACTGGGCTGAGAGAGCAGGGAAGGAGTGAGGAAGGGGCCGGGGAAATGGGGCAGAGGGACAAGACATTTCCAAAACACGTGCATGTGGTTCGGGTCTGTACTCCAGAAACTTAAGGCCGAATTTTGAGGTGTTGGAAGAGATTGTCTGTTGACTGGTCTTATCAGTGGAACCACTGAAGGGGGGCTGGGCTCTTCCTGCCTGTCTGGGTGTGCAGTGATTCTGATAGACACCCATCAATAGGTGAGAAACCGAGCACACACGCTGGGCAACACGAGGAGAGTTTAATAAAGGGCCATTTACAGAGGGTGGGTGCACGTGAGACAGTGTGGTTCTAGCTCAGGAGCTAGTAACAGCAGGACGCCATGATTGTCCCCAATTTTCGGGCCTGAAGGGGAGAGGAGAGGGAGCGTGGAGAGCGCCAGCCCACTGTGGCCAGGCTCTCCCATCCTGTGACATTCTCTCGTGTGCTGCAAACCCGGTCCTAATGCACCCCCAGGGCAGCCTGCTCAAGATCATGTCTAGTGGACCAAGCTGCAGCCACAGTCTACACAAGACCAGCAAGGCCTCTTTGGGGAAGAGAGGCCTCCAAAGTGTGCCTGAGTGTGCAAAGCTGTAACTGCAAGGATGGCCACTGCGGCACCTTTGGTAACAGCCAAAACAAACCGAATGTCCCACATACGGGCAGAGTAAATGGACTCTGTTCCATCCACATGAAGGAAAACGCAGCTGCTATAGGAACGTGCAGGCTTAGTATGTGGGGAGGGCTTCTGCAGTCATTAAGAACAGGAGCGCCAGGCAGCATGTGTGGGGGGAGGTCATTCTGGTTACACAACAAACAAGCCAACAATCATCATGGCTGTGCTCACATGGGAACAGCCTGGAAGGAGTCCTACCGCCTGTGAACAACACTTACTTCCAGGAGTGCCACCGACTAGAAGGGGACCTTCACTTTGTATTACAAAGCTCTGTACTATCTTTTTGTTTTGTTTTACAATAAGCACATAATTTCTTTAAGAGTGATTTATACAAAGAAGTATTTTATATCTATATATAAAAAAAGAGCTAAAAATGTGGCGAAGAGGGAAGGAACAGAAGAAGTACCAGTGTTCTTGCCCTGCTCATCGAGATCTGGCAGTCACTGTGAGCCCCTGCAGCACACGGGGCACTGTCTGGGGTGCTGGGCGACGGCACTAACGACAACGGCTGCCTGAAAAATGCTCACCCTCTGTGAGAAGCTGGTGGGACACGTCCAGATGTGCCCGCCTGCCTATGGCACGAGGTGAGCAGGGGTGAGTGGGCACACACCTGGGGCTGCAGGAATGGGGGGCGGTGGGGGGCAGTTAATCGCCCCCATGGAGGAGCACCATGAGGGCATGGAGGGGGGTCCTGGACTGTTCCTGCCTGTCTGGGTGTGAAGGATGGGGGGTGGAGACAGGAGCATGCTAGACTCTGGAGGGTCTCCTATGTCCTCCAAAGAAATGTGGATGCCATCACAAGGGTCCTGAGAGGCATGTAGGTGCTCAGCGCTTTCTCATTCCCGGACCCTTCCTATGCCGGCTGGTGGGAGAGAGGGGTGGTGCGGGCAACGGTCCAGCAGAGTCTGGGTGACTGTTGCCGGGGGGCAGAGCAGGGCAGTGCCATGCTCAAGGGATGTAGCAGCAAGTTACCTCAGGGCAGCTGGACAGTCTTCTTCTCACAGCATGGCTGGAGGAATTCATCGTCCAGGTGGGCCAGAGGGGCACAAGTGGCCTGTTCTGTGGTCTTCACCCACTGACCGGAGGGCAGGACTCCAGGGATTGAGGAGGAGCCAGAGATGGCTTCTCAGCCAGAAGGGGCTGGAGAGACCATCTCGTCCATCCTCCTCCAGCCAGGCAGAGCTACCGAGGGGCCCCCACAAGACTGTGGCAGAGAGACCGTAGACAGGGAGGTGCAGAACTGTGAGTCCCGTTGCAAACATGGAAGTCCCAGGCAGGGATGGCAGGTGAGCGCTCCCTCATGTGCTGACTCTGACAAGCCTAGCTTGCCTGGGCCGCTGAGAGGAGAAGGATTCGGAGAAGGATTCGGAGACTGACACGAAAGAGCTGGGAAAGCTGGGCGTCCCTGGGTAGACTGCCGACACGTGCCAAGGGCAAGGGACTGGGCCATGGGCACAACTGTTCTATGTCTGCAGTCCTGAGGCCTCTGAAGGCTGGGGTGACTGGTGACTCTGCAGGTGAGACTGGCCTTCCAAATCATCATCGCAGTGCCCCCACCAGCTGGACAGCTGAGCCTTTCCTGGCTCCCTGCTCACTAAAGAGAAGTGGCTGAGCGCTGGGGCTCAGCATAGTGGGTGGACAGACACGTCACAGGACCCGGGCTCCACGTCACCCCTCCACAGTAACAGAAGGCGCTGCCCATGCATGTGTGGGGTATGGAGGCCTCTGAGGCAGTCCCAGCTAACAGCAACCCAGGCTGGAGGGTCTCTTGCTCGCCTGAGTCTCTGGTAGACTTCCCTCCATTCCTGTAAGAAGGGGAGAAGTCCCTGTAAGAAGGGACACTGGGCAGGGCTCCCCTGCTGGTACTCTCTGGTGACCGCTGGTCAGAGCTGTGAGCTTGAATCTCTAGGCCTCTCATTCAAGGCCTGGCACGGGGAACATTCCAGGTGGTGGAACAGAGTGGGCAAAGGCAGGTCCTCGGAGAGCCAAAGCCAGGACACACCCATGGAGCCGGGAATGCCCAGCCTGGCCCATGAGGAGGCTGCCAGGCAGACAAGGGGAGCCAGAGAGGGAGTCTCAGCCGGCAGGTGGGGTCAGGGAGGCTGCAGGCATGAGGGCAGAGTGATGGGGAAAAGGGCAGCCCAGAGAGGGGGATGGAAGGATGGTGGACATGGATTTTAGGCCACAGGCCTGCTCCCCAGCCCCGACCCAGGGGTCTGTACGTACGGATGAGGTCCCCGTCGCCGACCTGGAGCCAGGCGCTGCTCCTCCTCTCCAGGTCCTGCAGCACCGACTGCTCAAACGCCAGGGCAGCCACGCGGCTGAAGAAGGCCTTCACATTCTCCCCTGTGTGCCCACAAAACAGCTATGAGCCTGTCTGCCTCTGCCCTTAACTGCAGACGCATTTGGGTGCGAGCCAGTGGGTATGAGGGTCAGGGCAGTCCACCTCCGTGGCTGCCTGGGACAGTGCAGTGCAGGGGACGGGCTAGCTGGCCTGGCTTCCCACTCGCGCTAGCCCCCTCCCCACTCTGGCCACCTGCCCTGGCAGCTACCTCAAATCTCTGAGTCCTGGCTTCCTAGCATCTATTCTTCTAGTCAATCAGTACTTAGCGCTTCCTGTGGGCCAAGCGTGGGTGGGGTGGGGTGGGTGTGTGGCAATCAGAGGGTGCCTGGTCTCCTGTCACCTGTGAGCACCTGTCCAGTGGGCAGCTGTGAGGATTAAAGTGTGCTGCCGGCCCCCACATGGAGCCTTTGTGAATCCTCTGCCAGGTGAAAGAGGCCATTCACCTGGGCATGGAGCTGGGTTCTGGTCCCCAACATGTACACTGCCCTTGTGCAGCCAACAACCTGTACAAACTACACAGGGCAATTCTGCTTGGCCCATAGGGAGCTCTCAGTGAACATGCTGTTACTCTGTTAAGAGGGCAGTTCTCACAGGGCACAGGGATGCCATCAGGAAGGAGCAGAGGCAACCAGGCCTGGGAGCTGCCACATTTTTGTCTGTGTTGGGCTGGAGGTGGTGTTTCTTCCACCTGTGGTGCCTACCCTCAGCCATCCTGCCACCTCACCCAGTCCCTGGCCAGCGTCTGCTCTGGCCCCTCACTAGAGAAAGGACTACTGGTTGGGCACACTTCCTGAGTCCCCAGAGCCTCTATGCACCAGGCACTGCATGTCATTATAATACATGCCCCCAACAACCTGAGTTTTCAAACTCTGTTCTTTGCTTCTCTGCATTGTCAAATTTTCCTCGGTGAATACATGTGGCTTTTGCAATTTCAAACATTAAAATAAAATGAGAGAGACAGTATCACCCACTTCCCAGATGAGAATACTGAGGTTAAGAGCTACTGGGCATCTTTCAAGGGGCAGGGTGAGCAGTGGCCCATAGAGGAAGGTGGCTCAGGGGTTGGGGGGGCAGACATGGTGGGATGTAGATGAAGGATGGGGGCCATGAGCGATGTTTCAGTGTCTTCCACGCTGACAGCAGGGAAGGGATGAAAGCCCCAGGTTACTGGGCCCTTCTATGTGCCAGGCGGTGCCTCCTACCTGGTATCCATGGATGGGGGCAGGATGGTGCAGTGGTTTATAGGTGAGGGCTGAGTTCCTACCCCAGGCCTGCCCCTTCATCCTGGGACCACAGAAGTGACTTCACAGGGATAAAACTGACCTGCCCCGAGGGTTAGGCATCGCTATTCCTGTCACCCAAGGGGCATGGCTCTCAGTCTCCCCTAGGGATGAGGAGGCTCTGCTCAGGCAATGGAAGGCCCTGCATGGTCACTAGCACAGATGGCTGAGATGCAGACACTCGACAGACCCAATAGACCTGAGGAAGGAAACGCGTGAGCCTCCCACAGCTGGCCCCGCTCCCACTCACCCGTCTTGGCTGACACCGACCAGTACTCGGCCTGCATCTCATTGGCCAGGTGGACGGCTTCCACTTCCGCCTGCTCGCATGCCGCGCCTGACTGGGAGAAGGGGCCCTTCTTCAGGAAGGTGCCTGGGGAGGTTCAATGCCTGCCTCCCACTGCGCCTCCTCCCGCCCCATCTCGCCTTGGGCTGGGAATCCCCATTTCGGGGGGGTGGGGTGGGGGTGGGGGATGCCTGCCCTCGGGTGAGACCCCAGTGATCCTGGGCAAGTCTGAGTGCCGGCTGTCCCTCTCTGAGACAAGCACCCCTAACTTTCAGCTCCCAGGCCTGCAGTCTTCAAATCCCCATCTAGGCATGTCAGTGCCACCCTGCGTTCCCCAAACACAGGCTGAAAGGAGATGCATTTTCTTGGGGGCCACCCCGGGCCTCCAGCCCTGTTCTGCTCACCAGAAGGTCTTTCTTGGTTCCCACGAGGAACACAAAGCAGGAGCCCGGCTCATTCTCCCTCAGAGCATCCTCTAGCCACTGCCTGAAACGTACGGGGGGGGGAAGCGGGGTTGCAGGGTTGTGGGGAGACAGGCGGAGACGGCCCCACCCACCCAGAGGGGCCTGCGGAAGACCAGGGGATGGGTGTAGACCCGGCTCCTCCCCAGGGCTGGGAGAACTGAGCCAGGAGGTGTGGGGAGGGCACCTCGAGTTGAGCTGCTGAGCAGGCACCGGTCCTGCGGCCAGAAGGGCCTTGGCTAGACCACAGGGGAGCGGTGTCACAGGAGCCGGGCCAGGGTAGGTGAGGACCCCGTCCTGGTCATGGCTCTGCCCTTGCTCCATGTCAACTTGGGTGAGTCCTGCACTGTCATCAACTAGAATGATCACCCCAGACCCACGCCTCAAACAAAAGCGAGGTGAAAGGGACGGTGGTCCCTCAGCCGGATGATTGCCAGCAGAAGCAGGACAGCCTCTCAGCACTGGTGATGTTACTAGCTCTCCTGACCAGATCTCTGCCCAAGACAGCAAGTGCCAACTCATGTCCCTTCAGACAGGACTGGCTACATAATTTGCAGGGCCCAGGACAAGGTGAAAATGCAAGACCCCCTCCAGCGATTATTAAGGCTTTCAAGATGGTGATAGCATGGCATCAAAGCAAGCTCAGGCCCTTCTGAGCGCCAGGCCCCGTGTGACTATGCTGACTGTGCACCCTGAGCCGGCCCTGCTTTCAGCAGATGGGTGCAAATCCTGAGGGATAATAAGGCAACTGGACAGTAAGCAGCCTGTGGGCAGTCGGTCTGACAAATTAGCTGGTCACCCACACCTGTCACTGGGGACCCCAGGGGCTGCAGAATCCCAGACTTGCCTGGTATGCTCCAGAGTCTGCATGTCAGTGAGGTCAAAGGCTGTGATGATCACTGCACACCCAGGGAAAAGCCAAGAGCTGGTCAGCGACAGGGGAGGCAAACATGGCGTGACAAGGGGGGCTCCCCTTGGGTAGCTGTCTGCTCCCCAGGAACTGAGTGGTCCCCCAGGCACTCATCCTTGAACCCCACAATGGAGCCTGGGAAGGAGACACCCCATGGCTGCCCTTTGTGTCTCATCCCCCCAACCGCCTTCTCTGACCCACACTCAGCATCCCAGCCACAGTGAGGGATCCAGGGAGGCAAGATGACTTTGGGGCTCCCGAGTTCAAATCTCCCCCCTGTCACTCACAGCTAAGGGAACTTAACCGCTGAGAAGGCCTTAACCGCCGAGAGCCTCAGTTTCCCCATCTGTGAAATGGTGAGAACAATACCTCTTGCTCTCAGGGTTGCTGTGAGGATTAAGCCAGAGCAGCTACTTTAAAAGCTCTTGGTCCAGAGCCTGAAGTGGGGCCGACTTGACCAATGGTAGTTATTAACAACAACCAGCTTTAGGGAAACAATTTCTGGGGAGCAGGGAGAGCAGAAAACGGGGAGATGCAGCCCTGCCCCCTCAGCTCCTCTTGTCACTGGCCTAGCCTACGCCCATCTCCTGCTACAGTCAACTCTGCTCGTTTTTCTGGGGTCTCCTGACATGCACTTCCCCTTCTGCACATCTTTCTGAGCTGGAACTGGGGCTGAGACTCCCACGGAGCACCCACCACCGTGAAGTCCCCAAAGGGGAGGTCAGCCTAGGCCCTGGGTGGAAGGCAGCTTCCATCGCTGAGGACTGGCCCAGGGGTTTCTCAGTGCCTGTGCATAGGACCTGGACTTCCTACTGCTGAGCCTGGCGGGGAGCCCCCTGCTGCACACGGTTGAGGGTCCCACCATGGCTATCATCCAGCTGCTCACCCTGGGCACCCCGGTAGTAGGCAGATGCGATGCACTTGAACTTCTCCTGCCCTGCTGTGTCCCAGCTATGCAGTGGCAGAGAGAGAAAGGGAAATAGAGGTGGCACATTAAGCGATTACCGTGGTCGGAGCCAGCAGGCTAGTGGGCCATAGGCAACAGTCCCTAGGGCCCAAGCTAGTCATACCGGAACTGGCAACACACGATGGGGACTTACATCTGGAGGCTGTAGGGGATCCCAGCGATCTCAAAGCGCTCGATTTCAAAGTCTACCCCGATGGTGGCCTTGTAGTCACGGTCAAAGACATTTTTGCAAAACCTGCGGGAGCCAAGGAAGTCATCAGAGGGGCTGCATGGAAGATTCACTCATGACAGTAAAAGTGCGGAGGCAACGAAAAGTCCACCCCTTGGGAATCGCTAAGGAGATGATGGTCCATGGAGACAGACCAGGGATGCACAGACAATGAGAACTATGTGGCGAAAGCGACACTGCAGCAAACACCGCAAGTCAGGGACAGTGAAAGAGAAACTGAGCATCCTTTTGCAGCGAGGGCAGTGAGGTTGGAGCCCATGGTCCCAGGGGGACAGTGTGGCCAATGCCAGGCTCCTGGGATGCCGTACTCTCCATCGACCCCACCACCTCCCCAATTTCTTGCACCCTCTCCATGGGTTTTGTTCCCAGAAGCTACATGGTCTCCAGTACGACAATGTCATCTGGGCCTCTGGGCAGTCAGTCTGGCGAAGGCCTGACAACCTGGTACTGGGAAGTGTGGCTGGCAGACGCACCTGTGGATGAGGCTGGTCTTGCCCACGTAGAGGTCGCCAACGACAACCACCTTGGAGAGGTTGAGCCTGTGAGAAATGTGGTCGTGTTGCTCTCAGGCATGGTCACAAGAGCATCTTCACACACACAGGCCCTTCCTTCTCTGCGCGCTCCACCCGTGAGGACAGGGGACAGGCTACCTGCTGAAACACTCTGGGATGTCTGTCCCCATCCCAGGCCCTCGGAGGGGAGGGCAGGAGAGCCTGTGTTTGTTCTGGGAACTCTATTATCCCTGGGCTGTACCCCTGACCACGCTGAGCCCAAGTCCCTCATGTGAGAATTAGAATTGGGTATGATGAGAGGCTGAGGGAGCAAAGACAAGCCCCAAGTGGGGCTTCGTCCAAGCTGGGGGCGCATCTGGGAACCTGGAGTATGCTGAGTGTGTAGACACAGTGCCACTGCATAAGGGACACAGCACAGGGGGCAGGGTCCACACGTCTCCTCCCCTCCATGGGCTGCATGCCTGATGGGCTCCTGCTCCTTGTAAGCAGGCACTGCTTGACTGGGAACCCCACTGTTATCTGCTCCCTTGGGGGTGTCTACCAGGGCCAACCAGGCCGAAGGGCATGTCATGGACAGGATTTAGGTCTGCACGTCTGGACTGTGGCTTGAAGCAAACCGGCTGAGGTTCTCGGGCTCTCTGGGGACCCAGCTCATAGAGAGCAGCTGCATCTCATTCTGTGAGTGTCCTGTGCTCTGCGGCAGCATTCTTGGGACTGTGGATGATACCTAGAGTTCCTATAGCTCAAGTCAAAGGAGCTCAATGGGTAAACACCTGACCAGGCACTCCCTCTGCCTGCAGACGGCAAGAGGGCACCTCTGTGTCACCCAGTGACAGTGTGCACCTCACCTGCACATGTCTGTGAGGGCACAGGCTGTGTCTGCTCTGCTCCCAGGCGGCCTCTAGTTCTAGAACAGGGTGCCCCCGACTCTGCTTCTCAGAGGAAGGAGTAAAGGTACTGCCAAGGCGTTGGGAGTACCCTTTGTGTCTCAGTTTCCCCACCGTCCAATGCTCTTGTGAAGGGTCAGGGAGATAATCTGCATGAAGCACCTGGTATGGAACCAGTGCTCCCAAATCGGTGGCCATTACCCTCGTGCCACGACCGTGGCTGCTTCAGCCATTCTGACCTGACCTGAGCCCTGCCTCACTTTGAGTCTCCTTGGGAACCACAGAGCTGGGTCTCCACTGGGACCTCCTCATACCTGTGAGCCAGTCAACCCCCTGAGCAGACTGTGAGCTCCTCAGGATGATGGGCAAAAGCAGGCCCTCATGGCTGTTTGTTAAAGGAAGGAGTGAGTGTTGCAAGATCCCCATGCCAGGAGTGCCGGGTGCTGCCAAAGCAGGAGCAGGACAGGCTGCACAGCCTGTCCTGAGGAATTCAGAGAGCAAACTTGCAATCCTGTGAGATAAGTGTGTGGGGCACAGGAACACACAGGAGGGACACCTGCATAGCCCGGGCCGGGGACAAAGGTAGCGGGGCGGGAAGAGAAGGCCCCCAAAGGACCTCACACTATACTGAGACCTGCAGAGTAGGGAAAGATATTCCAGACCAAGGAAATAGACATAGGCTGAGACCTCGGGTTGAAAAATCATGTGCATGACTTAGTAAGAAACAGAAAAGCTGTTCTACATAAAAGAAGTAAGTCCAGTAACACCAGATAAAGCCCCATCGTCTTCAGGCCTATACTGAGTTGCACCGGTATAGTCTGTGCCTTTTATTTGTGCGTTCCCACACTCATTCATGCACTTATTCCCCCGACATCCTGCGTCCCATGCACTCACCCGACAGTCCCCGTGTTTCTGCGCTGGCAGGTGGCATTGACCTGCCCGTGGAAGTGCTCCTTAAGCTGCAGGCAGGCGGCAGGTGTGTACCACTGGCAAGGGAGAGACAGACAGACAGACAGACAGATGGGCACGTTATCCTGTGAAGCTGTGGCTCCATCACAGAGCAGGACAAGAGGTGGTGGCTTGCTTCCCAGCATTTCCTCCCCAAGCCTCATGGCTGGTAGTCTCATGAGCTTTCTCTGATTCCTCTGTCACACTTGTCAGAAGCTTTGAGACGCCAGGGTCTTGTGAGTCCTTAGGAGGAGCAGCAGGGGCTGGGCCAGACCACAGAGCCTAGGCAGGGACTTGGAGAGCTGGCTCTCGCCTGGGGCAGCTGTGCTCTTGCTGCAGGCATGTGTTTGCAGGTCTCTGTCCCCTCTGGTCCTTTTAGGGAGAGATGAGGGGTGGGCTGTAAGGGTCATTTTAGCTCAAAATCTTCCTATACCTTCTACAAATCAGTATGCCATTTTTGTTTTTTTAAATATGCATATATAAGGTACTTGCACTCGTCCATATTTCTTGGAAGGCAGAACTGGGCAGTGCTTTAACCCTCCGTCGGGTGCAACTGATCTCACAGATTTATTGCACACAAAGATGCCGCTACCCAGGCTGTGTCCCAGGGTAGGAGAAAGTCGGACCTCTGGAGTCAGGCACAGCCAGGTCAAGTCCTAGTTCCATCACACCCAGCTGTGTGACCTCAGTCAGCCCTCCCTAGCTCTCTAAGCCTGGGCGTCCTGCTCTGTAAAGGGGGTCCTTCGTCCCACGAGACCTGGACTGTTTTGTGCCAATCATACTTCCCTTCCTTTTGGCTCATTAGACACCAGTCTGTTATCCCTGGGTATCGCTGTCAGGCTCTGTATGGAAATAATTGCCTGGGCCTCTGATGAGGTGGAACATCCTGAGGGGATTGTCCACAGGTCTGAGGCAGCAAGGGTTTCTCTGTGGATGTATGGAGAGAGAAGCAACTGCAGGGGGGAAGGCACAAAAGGGAGGAGGAATGACTGCAGACTGAGATACCCAGAGCCTACTTTCACTCCTTCCTCCCTACCAGCCTGGGCACAGAACTCAAAAGATACGAAGACCATTCCATGGAGAGGATGTCTCCCTTCATGCCTGTCCCGAGTCACATGGAGGCAGCCGCAGAGAGCAGGATCTGATGTAGCCTTCCAGAGACATTTTTAGCGCATATATATATATATATATATATATATATATATATATATATATATTTTTTTTCTCCCCTTTCCTTTTTTCCACACATGGGAGTATGCTACACACAACTGCTCCATTCTTTGGATTTTTACTTAACAATTTACTTTGGCTCTCACTGCACACCAGCACCCGACGGGCGCCTCATTCCTCCTCACTTCTGTGTCAGGAAGTAACATTTTGCTATCTGAGCAGGTCTCCGTCAGAGGACATTTACGTTGTGTCTGACTTTCTGCTTTATAAATTGCTGCAACGCCTGGCTTTGAACGGCTGGATCAGAGGGTGGGGGCGTGTGTAGTGTTTAGAAATATTGCCCCACTGCCCCCTATGGAGGTTGTATTGATTCCTGCTGCAATTAATATTGAATTGTAATACAGATGGAAGAGAGCTGTGAGTTTTCAGCAGGAACTAAAGGCAGAATGGTAAGGGTGGAGAACCCTGCATTTGGTGTCAGGAAACTGGAGTGCTGGTTTGATAATCATTTTAAAAATAATGAGAACAACAGCAACCATCACTCAGGCAAAGGAGCTCCCATTTACGACGAGCTAGGCCCCCAACATGAGAGGAATTATCCTTAATGTATCAATGGCTCTGAGAGATTGAGTAATTTGCCCATGGTCACACAGCTTAATGAAAAAATCAGAATTCACACCCAGGACTGTCTGACTGCAAAGTCTGTGCCCTTAACCTTCATACCACGCTGCCTCCTTGTGTCACCCTTAACATGCTGGCCCACCTTGGGCAAGTCAGTGCTTAAGTCTCCCAACTTCTCAAGAAGTCTGGTAAGTCCTTGGGGTCTGTCAGTGAGGGACTGACCGCTCCGATTCACCTGCTTTGTTTCTGGTGGTAAGTGCAGGTGGGGAAAGCTGGATGTGGATGTGGTGTCAGGAGAGCAGTGCACACATAAAGGGCTGGCCCAATGACTCTCTACCTTAGGGAAGCTGGCGATGATGCGGTCCCGGCTCACAGGGGGCCCCAAAGGCATCAGGGAGGACTTCATCCTTCCAGAGAGTCCTGTAGATCCAATCAGGGGAAACAGAGTTAGGGAGCTCTGCCAATCCCCAGAGACTCACCCACAAGTTTTTGCCTAACTTTTTAGTAGCTTTAAAAACAGATCCAAGCCTCCTTCTCTGTCAGGAGTATAGGCCAGAGGTCATCATCTCTTTCACTCTGTAGGCAGTACGGTGGGGGTGGGGGGGGCCAGGCCTGCTCCACCCTGCCTGGGGGTCCCCCTGTCAGGTCTCCAACCAGGAGTGGCCCCTCTCTGAGCTTATCCCTGGGTGGGAGGCACACCACAAACATTAGGTTGTATATCTCAGCACAGATACAAGAGGTAGAGTGGGGAAGGGTCCCTGCTCCTCATCTAAGGGATAAAGGCTCTGTGGAGGGGGAGGAAGGGGGGTGGCTAAGGTTTCAGCTCACAGGCCTGTCACCCCACCCAGGGCCTGGCCCCTGACGCTTATTCAACAGCCCGGCCTCTCCTTCTCGGTCTGCCCTCTCTCCCCACTAGGGTGGCCTTGACCGAGGGTTGTTGTCCTTCTCAATCTGACACCGATCTCCTTCAGGATCAGCACGGGCCTGGCCCAGGGTGGGAATTCAGGAAATGATGGGGCCCCCGAGCCGCGGTGGGAGGTGGGCGGGGGCGCGGCGTCCTCCTGACCCCGGCCTCGGAGACGCGCTCTCACGGAGATGGGCCGAGTGTGGGACACAGGGTTGGCTGACTCACCCGCAGCGGCTTGGGAGGTTCGGGGTTCCGCGCGGCTTGGTCTGGCAGAGAGGGCGGCAGAGATCACCAAGGCAACGAGCGCCACGCGGGACCGGCGGGCATCTGACGAATCCTGGACGTCTGGGGCGGGGTCTGGGTGGGGCTTGCAGCGGAAAGAGTCCCACCAAGCGCCCAGAGCGGTCACCATAGCAACCAAAGCCTCGAGGTAGTCGCGGGCTCCAGACACCGCTGCTGCTTGGACGCGGCCCGAGCGCCGGCGATCACCATTGGTAACGAAGGCGGGGCCGGATAAGGGGAATGTGGGCGAGGTCAGGTCGGCTAGGGTGGAGCCTGGGCTCCAAGGGCGGGGTCTGGGCGGGGCTGACCGTGGAGAGAGACTCGCCCACTGGACGGACCTTCCTGACAATCACCATAGCCGGAAGGGGGAATGGCTCAAACTGGTAGGGATTATGTGGAGTGTTTAAATATTTATTTTCATAATATATTAAATATGATTTTTTTTCTAGGTATCTAAATATTTCGTGTTTTTCATTAAATATTGGTATGCAAGGATCTTGAAGACCCCTTGACATCTTTCTCTCACATCCCATATCTGATCTAGCAGTAAATTCTGTAGGTTATACCCTGAAAATTTGCCCAGTATCCTCTATTTGCCTCCCACTTCCAAGGCATCATCTCTCCCCTTAACTGGTCTCCCTGTACACTCTTGCCACCGTACTATTCCTAGTTCAGCAGGATCTCCTGTTAAAACACAGATCGGATCACGTCAATCCTCCCTTCCAGACCCTCCAATGTCTTCTCATCGTTCTCAGATTAATAAAATCTTTACAATGACCCAAGAGGCCCCACGTCATTTGTCCTGGCCCCATTTCCTCTCTTAAGTCATTTCCTACTGATTACCGTCCTCCCTCATCCCATCCCACACTTGCTCCAGTGGTCCCTTGCTGTTCCTCCAACAGGCCAGGCACTGGGGTGTTTGCACTGGCTGTTCCCTGGGCCTTGCAATGCTCTTTCCTCAGGTATTTACATTGCACTCTCTAGATGAGGCCTCCCCTAAGCACCTTCTTTACAATTGTAGCATCCTCCCAACTCCTTATTCTGCTCTATTTCTCCCAGGCACTTACTATTTTCTAACATATTATATAACTTATTGTTTATTGTAATTGTATATCTCTCTCCACTGAAAGCGATGAGAGCAGGGATTTTTGTGCTTAGTCATCAATGTGTCACATTGGTTGAACAGTATCTGCACATAGCAGACATTTAGTGAATGCTAAGTGAACGGATATTAAATTTAAAAAAAAAAGGAAAGCACAGTGTTTGAAGTACGCTGCCACAACATTAAAAAGTGAATGAATCGTATTTACTTGTTTAAGTTGAGCTTATCTCTGGAAAGAGACCAGTGGTTGCCACAGGTGTGGATAACCTGCTGTCTGTGGACCGAAGGAGACATTTTACTTTCATACTTTTTGGCTTTTCCTCTATATGTATATATTGCCTGTTCAATACATAACTCAAATGGAAATAAATAATTTGGAATACAGAATACAATGACATCCTACAACTCTGGCCCTTCCAGGTCAGCTCTGATGTATTTTGGTGTGCTTCTATCCTTTGAGTCTTTCCTGCGGGCACCTCCTTCTGTCTGCAATCATGGCATAAGAGCTCTTGCTGTAGCATTGGCATTTGATTGGAGTCCAGCACCCTGCAGAGGCAAAGGATGGACGTGCTTACCATTTAGGGATCTTATTCTGCATTGTTCTGAATCTAATGGTGCCTGAATATCATATGCTGGCTTCTAGAGCTCATGCTACAAAATTAATTGCTGTAATTAATGGCTGTTTAAAAACTGACCAGAGTCACTGAGCTCTTGTGAGCTAGTTTCTATTTGGAGGGTGAGGCATGTGGGGCTAGATGGTCTCCAGAGGTGCTTGTAAGACGGTGTAATAACAAAAAAATGAGACAGCAGTTAGCTTTGGAGGGGAGGATGGGATATGGGAAAGGGAAAGGGGACACAGGCATTGATAATATTCTGCGAGTGAATTCACAGGTGGTTATTATATTTTTATGTTTCACAAATTAATATATATGCTATATAGATCATTATATATATATTCTAAAACATCAAAAGGAGATGAAAAATAATAAAATTGGGGCCAGCTGGATGGCTCAGTTGGTTAAGAGAGCAAGCTCTGAGCAACAGGGTCGCTGGTTTGATTCCCACACGGGCCAGTGAGTTGCACCTGAGCTGAGCTGCCGCTGGGTGGCAGGATGGCTCAGCTGGTGAGAGCGTGCACTCTTAGCAAAAAGGTTTCCAGTTCGACTCCCGCATGGGATGGTGGCTACGCCCACCCACAACTAAGATTGAACATGGTACCTTGAGCTGAGCGGCCACGAGCTGCTGGCGGCTGGCCGGATGGCGACTGGACTTGGAGCTGGGCTGGCTGCGCACTCCACAACTAAGATTGAAGGACAACTTGGCTGTTCCCCTTCCCCAATTACCTGAATAAAAATCTTAAAAAAAAAAAGAAAGAAAAGAAAAGAAACATAATAAAATTGAAAGACAATTGAAAAAAAAAAAAAAGACTGTGTACACAGATTCTGAGAGGCCCCCGGTTCCAGTTTTGAGAATCTATTTGATTCAGTTCCCCGACTGCACAGGTAAGGAAACTAAGGCTCACACAATCAAAATGCTTTGCCTAGTGAGTTAGAACTAGAATTGGAACTCAGATTTCCTGACTCCCAGCCCAGTGCTCTCCATATCACCTTCCGTAAAAAGCAAGGATGCTCAGGGTTAGAGAGACCCGTCATGACTTGGTCCTTTTAAGGACAGCAGTAGGGGACAGATCTCTGCATCACAATATGGGATCCTTGATACACAGATCTGAGTCAGTTATCTTCATTTCAAAGCTAAATGTGCTGGAGGCTGATGCTTGGTACCTTTGTTAGTGAGTTTCATTGCTAAGGGCTCAGGCCTCGGGGATGAACTTATGTGAGTTGCTCCACCTCCTCCTATGCTGCAGCTAACTCAGCTATAAAATGGACCTATTTATTATACTTCAAGGCTTGTTGTAAGGATCACACAAGATGGTGAAAGTGCCTTGTAGATTAGTATAAAGCTTGATTCAAGTCAATTACTCGTTCATTTATTCTACACTTACTGAACGCTTCCTGGCATATTCCTGGCATGCGAGAGGCAAGTAAACAAGACTGACATGGCCTCCACTGTCAGGGAAGTTGATGTAGGCAGCAGGAAACTGAGAAGTAAATAGAGAGTTAGGGGAGGGAAGTGTGCCAACGAGATAATTAAGCTATGGATCACTTAATAACTTGGAGTTGGGGAGAAGATAGGCTTCATGGAGGAAGTGTCCACCAAGTTGTGTCCTGCAGGACGAAGAGGTGGTCAGTGTTACAAGCAGCCCAGGCTGCAGGGAAGAGTTGGCTATTTGGGGTATTAAGAGAGAGTCCAGCACAGCTGGAGGAGACCATCACCCAGGGTCTTGAGTGGTAGGCTAGAAGTTTGGACTCTGTCCTGAAACCAATGGGGAGCCATGGAGGGTTTTATGCAGGTGATGACTGGGTCTGGCTTGCTTTCAAGAACAATTGCTCCAGTCAGCAGTGTGTTGGGTCCACTACAGCGATCTGTGTCATTACCAGGCAGTCAGCCTGCAAAGCAAGGAGCATGGAGCCTGGGCTAGGCAGTCCAGGGATCAGGCCTGTGTGACCTGGGGGAAGCTGCTGAACCTCTTTGAGGTTACTGTCTGTGAACTGGATAATGTTATCACCTCACGGGGTTACTCTGAGGATTAAAGGCTTGCAAAGTGTTCAGTACAGAGGTCTAAACGAACAAAGCTGAGCCGCCTTTGTTCCTCCACAGTAACCCTGCAAAGTATCGCTGTTGCCACGTTACAGCCGGCCCTAGCCTGGAGCTATTCACGCCTGCGCGGTGGGCGCCAAGTGTGCGGAGCACGGCGCTTGGGAGGCCGCCGGAGTCACCTGGCAACTGGGTCGCCTGGCAACGGGCGTGCACTACGGGGACCGCACGCGCTGAGGCAGGTGAGCGGGCGGTGGTCGGACGGGGGTCCGGGACAAGGGGCCCCCAGACCTATCCAGTCCGGCTCACACGGGGCCCGCTTCCTCACACACCAAGGCTCTCTTATCCGCGGCCGGACTCCCGCAGCCCATGCCCCTTGGAGGAAAGCAGGCCCCTCTCTCAGGGCCCACCGGCCCCTGCAAAGGGAGCACAAATTGGAAATGGTCCTGTCAGTCCCAACCTGGCTTTACCTCCTCCGCTTGTCACCTGGTGCCTGGAATCAGAGTGTGGCTCACCTCTTTTACTGGAGTAGATTCCTATAGAATTGGGGCCTGTCACTGTCATTAAATGTGAAAACAACAACCGCCACCATAATTACCACAACCAATATATCTGGAGCCCTTGTGTGCCAGGCTCATGAGTATCAGTTAATATCCCAACTCTGGGAGGGAGGGAAGAAAGTGCTATTATCATCTGCCTTTGCAGCTGTAGAAGGACACAGATATTGGAAGTAACTTGTCAAGGGTCACCCATGATCTGGGTCTGGAACCCGTTCTTAATTACTAATCTACACACTGCCTATAGTTGCTCGAAGTGTGTGTGTGTGTGTGTGTGTGTGTGTGTGTGTAATAAAAATAATTCACCCTTTAATCTTAATTCCTTTTTTTTTTTTAGATTTTTTTTAAAATTGGGGAATTGGAGAAGGGAACAGTGTTGGAGAATTGGGGAAGGGGAACATTGTGTTTTCCAGGACCCATCAGATCCAAGTCAAGTTGTTGTCCTTCAATCTTAGTTGTGGAGGGCGCAGCTCAGCTCCAAGTCCAGTCACAGCTTTCAATCTAGTTGGGAGTTGGGGGGGGCGGTGCAGCCCACCATCCAATGCGGGAGTCAAATCGGCAACCTTGTTAAGAGCACGCGCTCTAATCAACTGAGCCATCTGGCTGCCTGCCCATCGGCAGCTCAGCGGCAGCTCAGCTCTGGCACAGCTCAATGGCCCATGTGGGAATCGAACCAGCAACCCTGTTCCTCAGAGTCTGTGCTCTAACCAACTGAGCCACCTGGCCACCCCCCTTAATTTCTTTTCTGTGAATGTGTCAGAGCATCTGAATATGGGTCCCTGATGGGTGAACGAGCTGGACCCGGATTTGAATATCAGTTCCTAGCCTTATCAGTTCTGTTACCTCCTGCAAGCTCCTTGCCCCTAAACCTCAATTTCCTCATTTGTAA